GCACCCCCTCCCCCCGCCATGGGAGGCGCGGGCGGGGGGCGCAGCCCCGGGGCGGAGGCTGGGGCACCGGGAGATGCGGATGGAGAGAGGGGAAGGGAGATCGCAGAGATGGGGCGAACCCCCAGAGGTGGAGGGGGGCGGGCGGGGAGGGGGACCAGGACGCGGTCGCGCCCCTGGGGGTCCTGAAGGACGGTGATGGGTTGGAGGGGGCCCCCCCGCACCTGAGCGCCCCCTCTCCGCCGGGCCGGCTTGGGGAGGGCGCCTCCTCACCAGGGGGCACACGTGGGACAGAAGGACATATTTCCGGGGGGGGCGGCACGCTGGGGAGCCCTCGCCGGCCCGGGGCTGGGGGTGCCGCGCGCGAGCATGCGCGTGCACAACGGGGCTCCCCGGAGCCCTGAGCTCAGCACGCCGCGTGGAACAAAGCGAGCGGGGAGGTTCGCGTGGTCTGATCGCCAGAGAAAGCAGAAAGCGGGGACCGCTTCCACCCCGCAGCCCCCCGGCCTCTGCGCCTGGGATGGGCCCCTCGGATGGTACCCATGCCGGCCAAGAGGAAGGAGGAGCCCCAAGACGGAGGAGCTCGCTGGGCACTGCTCATTCCCCCATGGGTTGGGGGCGAGGGGGAGCGCTGTCATGCTGTCCGGTTAGGGCCCTGTTTTGCTACCAGACTTCTAGGCTGCCCTGCCTGCAGGACTGCCGCCATGGAAACTTGGGAGCCAGGCCCACCTGGGGGTGAGGGTTGGAGCAGGAGGATGGGCACCGCCCTGGCACCTGGCACTGCGCCCAGGCCGTTCATGAGAGCCTGAGCCTCTGCGAAGCATCAGGAAATCCCAGGGAACAAAGGGTCGCTGGTGGCCCGGAGACAGCCCCTGCCAAGCCTCGAACCCCAGGCCCAGTCCGGAAACCTGGTCTGGGCTAGATTCCCAATTCCCAGGAAGAGACTTCCAGCGCAGCTTCAGGGCCCTCGCTGGCCGGGTCTCCTCCTCCCGCAGGTGGAACTAGCCTTGCAGGCCTGGCAGGGCCTAGAGTCCTCGAGGGGCTGCTCCAGGCTGGCCCAGGGAGGACAAGAGCCCACTTGAAGTCACCTCTTCCACATGGGGTGCCTTCGCCTGCAGGTGAGGAGGAGTCCTCAGAAATCTCCCTTACTTTGGCCCGCTGCATCCTGGCTTGCCCCAACTGGGCAGGTCACTGTCAATCTAAGAGCCTGACTCCTGCCTGGTGCAAGAGAATAGCTTGATCTCACAGCCAAGCAGTTTGCAGATTCCATCGCCCGTGCACGCACTCTCTCTCTCTCTCTCTCTCTCTCTCTCTCTCTCTCTCTCTTTGTGGTCAGAATCCCACCAGGAGCAACAAAATAGGGCCTCTCCCTCTGTCCCAAGACTTCGTCAAGGATCCATGTTATCCTTGAGAACCACAATTCTCCTGTGTTGTGTGCTGCTTTCCCAGCTGGCTGGCTGGGAGGCGGCCACAGGCCCTTGGCACTTCTGTTTCCCCTCTGCTGATTGCATCTGGGCTCTGAGGAGGGCATGAGTAACACAATGCACAGGACACCCACGGGGAGCTGGGGACAAGGGATATCCGTGCCTCCGGGGAAGCCAAGGGAGAGCAGAGCAGACCGGGAGGAAATCCTTCCAGGGGGAGAAACGGAATGCGCCAAGGCAGCGTGTGTATGTATTAGCTTCTGGTAGCTGCTGGAACAAATAGCCACACGCTTGGTGGCTGAAAAGAAAAGAAATGTATTCTGTTACCGTTCTGGAGGTCCAAAGTCCAAATCCAAGCTGTGGTCAGGGCCTGTGCCTCTTCAGACCTTGGTGATTCCGGGCATCCCTTGGCTGGAACCACATCCCTCCCATCTCTGCCTGTCCATTAGTCCAGCCACAGCATCTTCCCTCTTCCTACATCTCTCTCTTTTCTCCCAATGGACTCAGGACAGTCTTGGATGCTCCAGAATGAGGCCTCAACTCTCCCTCCATCGCCAGACAACAGATAGCCACTCTGCCACTCAAGGTCAAGGTCACTGGTTCCCAAGGGGAGACCTGGGCAGATAGTTGGGAGGTGTCCCTCCTTGCCTCCGCTCCAGCCAGTGTCCTCCTCTCTCTCTCTCTCTCTCTCACACACACACACACAGCCTGCGGAGGACAGGTCCTTAGCCAGAATGCCTTCCCCACCCTCCTTGTCCATTTGGTGAACTCATGGTCACTCTTCAAAGCCCAAATCCAATGTCACCTCCTTTTCGAACCTGGCCTCTCTATGCTTCTCTACTCAGGAGTCTGGGTGTTTCTATCTCTTTCTAGACCTCGAGAAAATCCAGGCAGACCTGGATTTCAGTGTTTCCTGTGTCTGGAACAGAGCCTGGAGCACACTGGGTAATCGGTTGGATTGGTACCCACAAGTACCTTTGGCATGCTCAGACACTTGTACACAGGGTGTGAAAGTCAGGCGCCGAGTAGGAAAGGAGACAGTCCCATTCAACGGGGACTGCGACATCCTCTCAATGTAACCACAGAAAAGCTCATGATTAGAAAATTCTGAGCATTATTTAAAAATATATAACCTAGACACAAAAATATGAAATGGTTCCTAGCAATCCTAGTTCTAGTTACTTCCATGCTCCCATGCAAAGGCGGCACCGCGCCTTTGGCCCTGCAAAGCTGTCAAGAGCTGGCTCAGGAAGCAGCCGGTTATGTTTGTTTCTTTGTTTATAGCCATAGGAACTGAGCAAATACTATTATGGGGCCCAGAGAGATTTGTAGACCTATTATATATTTAAACAAAATTGTATGCGTTATGCTTTAAATTTGGGAGGGAAGGAGATTTGTTTTGTTCTTGTTTTACCTTATATAAGCTTAATTAACCACTCTGCAATTGCTAATTTCCCCAAATGATTTCTAAGATCCATCTCCCTCTAGCTGTAAGGCCTGCCCTCTGGAGGGAGGAAGACAGCCCCGAAAGCTCTGGTCAGCCACCCCGCCTGCGCCTCGGTTTCCCTTCCTGTGCGTGGGCAGGAATGTCCATCGAGGTGTTCTTTTTCCAGCTTCACTATCTGGTCTGAGGGACGATGACTTTTCAAGTGCTTCTCATTTGATTCCCGGTTTGGGATTTGAGATCAGAACCCTTCAATTCCGTGCGATTGATGGGGATAAGTCAGCAGATGCTGATTTATTTTCTATGAGTTAACAATCTCCAGGCTGCTGGGAGCTCCACAATCCTTCTGCTGCCTTTGTCCTGTCTCTCAGCAAATGTTCAAACCTGCCTGGCCCCCAAGACAAGCACACAGGAGTAGGGAGACGGGCTAAAGGATAGATGCCAAGAAGCACTGCACCTGTGTAGCTGGGGGAGGGAGAGGGGGTGGGGGCTTCCCAGGACCTTTTTTTTTTTAATTACCTGACTTATGTAACTGTAACTCCTCTGTGCATCAGCCTTATGCTAAATAACTAAGTAACTAACTGCATAACAGAAAAGAAATAGAAATGTGACTCAGCACTATAATACCTGTCCATCAAGTAGAAGACTTTGAATTCAAGTTCAAGCACCAGCAAAATATTAAATAAATACATAAATGAAATGCTGCTTATAAGAAACACACCTTAATGTAAGGATAGAGAATCATTGAAAGTCAAAATGTTGAAAAATAAATACTTGCCTGCAGTAACCAAAGGAAAACTGGCGAGTTCATGAAAATGTAATGAGGTAAATTTTTTTTAATTGTGAAAATACCGTACAGAGGGGTTACAATTACATGGGCAAGTACATCTCTTATCAAGCATTATTGCCTCCTCCTTTGTTTCCCCTTCCCATCCCTTCCCATCTCCAACCCCCCCCGCACCCCCACAAAGTTGTAAAGTTCGTTTTTTGACATAACAACTTGTACATCTCATTGTTGTAATGGGTCCACCTGTATCCCTATTTAAATTATTTGTTTTTTCCCTTCCCCTCCACAAATTATACCAACATCAAATACAGTGAAAGTGGGGGTTATACCGTGGGGGAGAGACAAACAAAGCAACAAAGAAATCATCTTATAAATATGTTAGAAACAATCGCAAGAAAGAAAAAACATTTAAATACGTATCTTAGGGTTCATTTCACCTAACATCAACTTATCTGACCTTTTTTGCTTGACTCAGACATATACTGGTTATTGCAAATAATGGAAACCATGGGACCTATGTTTCTTTGGGCCTGTCTTACTTCACTTAATATAATTTTTTCCAAGTTTTTCCATTTCCTAACAAATGGGGCAATGTCATTCTTTCTGATGGAGGCATAGAATTCCATTGTGTATATATACCACATTTTCTTGATCCATTCATCTACTGAGGGGCATCTGGGTTGGTTCCATATCTTAGCTATGGTAAATAATGCTGCAATAAACATAGTTGTGCTGGTAGCTTTATTATGGGGGAGTGGGGGGGAGGGGGACTTCCTGGGACCTTTTTACAGGGGAGGACTCAAATTCTAAAGCTAAAACTCCACATTGGTTGGCCTGGGGGAATGGAGGGGAAGGAGTCCGGTGCCCAGCCAGTAAAAGAGAGGGTGAAGCACCCCAGGTCCTTGCCTCCATTTTATTCCTGG